GGTGACTACATCGGCCAATTCCCTCAGGACTCTGGGACGCATCTCATCAGGGCCCATGGACTTAGGTGCATTCAGGTTCCTCAGGTGGTCACGAACCTGATCTTCTCTTACAGCGGGAGGGGTTTTACCCTCCTGGTCCCCCTCACGCAGTCCATTGACTCGGGAGGGGTGAGGAGAAAGGTTGCCAGTGAAGACTGAGGCAAAAAGACTGTTGAGTACCTCAGCCTTCTCCTCATCTGCTGTTACCAGTTTGCCAGTCTCGCTCATCAGCGGGGGTACGCTTTCTTTAACCATCCTTTTCCAGCTGACATACCTGTAGAAACCCTTATTATTCTTCACATCCCTTGCCAAGTTTAGTTCCAGCTGAGTGATGCTATCCTGGTTTTGCTTTAAGTAACCTAAATTGAACTATTAGCTGCTGAAATCAGTTCATGAAAAATATGGCAAGTGCTGGTCTAAACTAGATGTAAACGGTTCTGGAGCACAGTTCAGAGTACAGGACTAATTCCTATAAGGACACTTGCTTCTGTGTTTATGTATAAGCGTTTATTTTCGTATCAAATATATACAGTTTGCAACAGCTGTTTATGTATTAATCAAGATTTTAAAATGCAAGATTTAGAAGTGCGAGGAGGGGAAGATGTTTGCTGTTCCTATAACTGATTGATGCTGATACCTAATTTTCCTCCTCTCTCCCCTTGCCCCTAGATGAAATCACTGAAGCGAAGTCTGGGACTGCAACTCCACAGAGATCAGGTTCTGTGAGCAACTACAGATCCTGTCAAAAAGATTCAGATGCTGATGCACAAGGAAAATCTGCAGATACATCCCTTACCTCATCAGTGAGCTCTTCGCTTGACTCCTCTACGGCTGACTTAACTCCAAGACCAGGGAGTCATACAATAGAATTTTTTGAGATGTGTGCAAATCTTATTAAAATACTTGCACAATAATGTTGAAGATGGGCTTATTTCTTTTATAGCAATAAGCATGCCTAAATCATAGTCAGATGCTTCCAATTATAATCAAGTTAAATTAACTAAGGCGCTGAAAAAGCTAGCCACAGAATGCAATTTGCACAGGGATTGAAATGATTGTGGGCAGTTAACGTGTATTATTTTGAAGCTGGATTGAATTCTGATTGTCTGCTGTCCGATAGCGCAATACAGGTACAGGAAATCACATGCCCTTGGGGCAGTGTTTGTAACACTTTACGCTGAGTGCACATTAGGCTGTGTTTAACATTTAAGTTAGACAGACCTTGGGTTTTTTCACTGGTAATACATACATCTGATGCACTGTAAGTAGATGTACACTTACTAGTTCAGTGACCTATGTATGACTTGTTGGTCGCCATCTACAGTTGTGCCTCAGTTGGTCAGAACTATCAACATCTTCTAACAGTAATGTCTTAAAACTGCTGTTTCTTCCCCCTTATTTGACAGTACATGATAAAGAATAGTTCAATGTGTTAATGTACTACTTTCTCAACAACCATTAATGTGATTAAATGGATCCAACCAGTTGAAAGTGTAGGTAGGTGCTCGCTAATGCACTAAAGGTGAAATTCTGTGGGCTGTGGGTAGAACAATTCTGTCCACAACAATGGTGAAAGATTTGATGCTGAGAAGACTTGGCACCCCATGGGCTAAAACACAGTGTTGCTCTGAGAAGGGGAACTGCCAAGCAGGTTCCTGATCTGTGCAGATCCGCTAGCTCATGCCTTAGCGTGGCAGCAGCACAGCAGCTCCCCAATGCTACTGCAGGCTGAGCCTCCTTTTCCTTAGAAACACCTGCATGTAGTTAAGAGCACAGCCTGAGGGCTGTTGCATGCTATTGCAGAACCTGAAATTGACAGGTTTTTTAAAATACAGGTTAGTACTTTGATACAGCTGTTTATCACGTTAACTTAGCGTATAGTATATAGAATTCACTTTGCAGCTGAAACTACATATATAGCTTAGGTTTTCCCAGGCCACCTTTATAGCAATCTTTTGGTATTTAAATTAGTTGTGAAATTAAATAGTCCACTTTTTGGTTGAACATGGAAAAATGATCATGACAACATGAGTGCTAGTCTTCAAAAAGTTTTCCACAGTAGATTGCAATTACCAGTAACATAAATCCTTCTGCATTTATGGTTTTTGCAATGTTTTGGGAAGAAAATTGAATCTTGTATGTTAAAATCACAGCTAGTACTCGCACAAAAACATTTTAGTCTCTTGTAAATTGGATACCATTAGCTACAGTTAGTTTTTCATCTTGAATGAATGGACATAAACAGTAAACTGTCATAAAATGTTTAGTTTTGCATTCAAGAATGAATGTTCTTTTGAAAATGAACTTCATGACCTACTCTGTTTTGAAGACCGTTCTCCCATTTAGAGACTGGAAATCAAGGCATTACTATGAACAGTGAAACCTGGACTCTTAAAATGGAAGGGGATTCTTGCCAATGACTGAGATTTCGTCCATGGAAAACTGCTAGCTTACAGGTACAAGAACAGTTTAATCCAGGCCAACTGGCTTCAGTCCAGAAATTCATCTGTTATGAATAGGCATGGAAGCTGAAGAAACATAAAGCTGCTGTAAGCCCCAGAACTGCTGTAGCTGCGTTCTGAACTGGGCAGCTGTGTGGTCTGTCTAGTATGTAGGTACATGTTACAGCTTCAGTTCTTTATCCTCAAGTGTCACACACGGTCCCTGTAATGCAAGGTTGTGTTACTGTGTCCTGAAGTGGAAGATTTTCCTTCGATAAAGCTTTGGGTTTAAACTCCTGAGACTGAGATGTCAACATGAGGGACCAGCTGCAAATCCTGCTTTTAAGTCCTGTTAGTCTTGTAAGAATTGGTTCCAATGTACTGAATAAATCAGTGCATTCATTTTTGTTACCCTTTTATTTTGGAATCGTTGAATATTGCACTTTGTACAAATATGTGACACGCGCAGGTTTTTTAATTGTAGTAATTCCTCATCTGGAATTGGTTTGGGATCACTCTTGCGTATGTTAAACAAAGTATTTGTGAATGGTATCTGCTCCTTGTAGTGCTGACCACAAATGCAGGGTGTCAAGGTGCAAACAGCTTCTAATTTTTGTATACTTTTTTTGGTCCTCTTGTGCATTAAGACAACCATGATTTTTCCTTTGTCTTGGTATCTGGAGGTTAAAGTAAGTTTCTGGCAGAAGTGTACTGTATGTGTAGTTTTAAATAAAGTAAATTTTATTGGTTTTTGTTTGGCCAAAAGTTTTCTGATTAAACTGAGATTTTTATAGGGGGCAGGGGAGGGAGAAAGGGCGACGGACAACCTAGTTGAACCCAGAACAGTTGTCTGTTATTTGACTTTCCTATGCTTTGTAAATGTTGCTGTTGAAACTGCTTTCTTCACATGTTCCTATTCATCTTGCAGACTTTTTTTTTTTTCTAAGCACCGCACTAGAAACAAACTTCCGGGGTTGTAAGGAGGCAGCTTATGCAAATACACAAATTGGGCTAGTATGTTACTCTACGTTCCCAAGCTTACTCTTGTTGGAGTATGCTGAATTACCTTGCCTTTGTATTGTAATTTCAAAACCATGGATGAACCTGATTGTCCATGTGCAATATAACTCACTAGGTAATGGATAAAAATTCATCTTGGTGGTGCAATATTTAAAAAAAAAACAAACGCAACTTTCATGTTTGTCTTGATATGAGTGTTTAATACAAACTTGGAAATAAATTTATTTTACCAGTTAATTACCATTGTAAGATACAAAGTCCTGTTGTTTAACAAAGATGTGCCTACTTCCTATGTTAAAATTTCTTTTGACAAAGCTGAATGGCAAAAATGCTTGTTTGTAACGGTATAACTTTTTAAACTTTCAGAACTTAAAACTCAGTAAACATGAAATACTGAACCCTCTTGTTTGAGACTGTGTGCATGCTGTCTTCTACTGTTACGCGTGTTACAAATTAACAGACAAGGGCTGTTACGCTCGTTTTAAAAACAGCAGCAACAACCATTTTGGAACAAGCGGCAACTGCACAATTCACAGCCGGGGGGGCTGGGCTACCAACTGTGCTGGCCTGGCTACACTGACTTAACCGTTTTCCCTCGGCTCCTGTAAGCCCTGTTGCTGCAAAAGGCAATTTGAGATGGAAGGAAGGCAGAATACTGAGTGTGAAAGTCCCCTTGCTCCCTGCCCTGTCCCGCGCCGTGTTGCTGGAGACCAATTTTAAACCCCGCAGCCTGTCTTAGTGTCACCGAAATCGGGAAGAATGAACCTCATAACACCAATGTAGTGTTAGAAGGCAGGCATTCTTTATTCACGGCGCCGGATGCACGGGGGATCGCTCCACCTAACGTGCATACCATCAAGCGGCAACTTGTCCGTTTATATGTAGCAAAGTATTACATATGTATGAATTTTTCCGATATGCCTGTACATATGCATAACCTGTCTCCGCTTTGTATTAAAATTAGCTTCAGGAGGTCATTTCCATAAGTCCCTCCCCACTGCGCCTGCTCAGTGCCTCCTGGTGGTGGTGGTCGGGGGTCGTGGGGATGAAGGCCGATGGCTCCTCTTCATCACCACTAGTAACCCCTTGTTCTTGCGCAGACTCAGTTGCTCCTTGGCTCTTGCCCAAACTGCAGGGTTGGTGTAGACCAGCTCTTGAGGTAAACACCTGGTTCTTATCAAAAAACTGTCCTTTGTAAGGAGCCACAAATCTTTCTACATCAATTAGTTCTCATTCCTTCTAGTCTGGCAACCTTGGCAAACCGTTATTATCTTTTGCTTCATCCCCTCC